TAGTCAAACGAACTATTTTCAACGTTTCTGGAACGTTTACAATCGTTCTATAATCGAACCAATATTCGAATTTTATGTTCGAATTTAATTCGAACAAATTCGAACAAAACATTCGAAATAGAAAGCCACTTTCAACCACTTTCAAGCCCATATCTCCCGCACCCTTATAGCTATCGAGACGCAACCACCCCTATGCACGAACGGAGACTTGGGGCTACTACCACATACAAAAACCATTCACGTGCGATGTGTAGTTTTGGCGGAAAAGTGAAATATAGGGACATATATATATATATATATAGATATAGATACAGATTCATTCTTGTCTGAAATGTTACATATTTAATAATAAAACTGAAAATTCTTTTAAAAATAAATGAAATAACAATATAAAATCATAAACAATTCCATTGGTAAATTAATACAGCAGTTATGTGCATAAAATGAAGCAAAATCAGATACGAAACTTATATTATCGTAATCACTATAGAATGACTTTTATTAATGCAAAATTTTATTTTATTATTTAAATCATTGCATAATTTTACTAAAGAAAAAAGAGACATTAATAATTGTACAAGATTTTAAAGCATAAAAATAATTAGAATCGTTGCTAATAATTTAAATAAAATCTAAATTATATTACAATAATATGAATAAGTAACATTATCATATGTTAAGTAAATATTCAAATTATTCATGTTTATTTTATGGAATTTAATGTGAAAATATGAGAAAAATTTATTTTTCCCTTCCGATTATTATTTTAATATTTAATTTAATTGCATATAAAGCCTATAGATAAACAAGTGGGCAGAGGTTACTTTTAGTTAATTTGTGTATACACGTATACTGTATATACACAAATCATCTAAAAGTAATCTCTATCAAATAAGCGATATGCCACAATTTCCGTTATAATTACTTATTATTTACATAAATATAATCTCTTTCTAACTAATAAATTAACTATTTAGTTAATTACAATAAAAATAATAGTAAATATCGGGGGAAAAAATTACATTAACTTTCCCGAATCGTTAGGCCTACGACTATAATGGAAAATTATGTGATAACGTCGCGAATAATTAATTATATCAAATATATATCATAATTTCCAATAGATAAAGGTTAAATGAATAATAAAATAGTTCATACTTCGTTCATATGTTGGACATTTTGCCACAAGTCAAATATTTTGAACAATCGGCCGCCCGATTGCCGCCATTTTGAGGAATGTCTAGAAATACAAACGATGCTATAACTCCATTAAACATGCATTATTTATCAATGTTATCTAATGAGAAAATAATGCTAATTATTTCTGTATTTAATTTATTAATTTATAAAATTTAATCGTCTTTATTAATATAGCTTTGTTTGTTTAGTTTACAAAATTTTTATTTTATTTTATCGGTTGTCGGGATGGTTAATTACATACAATTTGAGTGATTTTAAATTTTTAATAATAATTTTCTATTTGTTTTGTAAGATTTGTTATCTTTTTTTAAACTTTAAAAATTTAAAATTGAATATTTAAAAATAAATTTTAACGAGATATATTGTTAAAATTATTCATCGCGCAGTACTTTTTTTTTTTTTAGCTCTTTTCACCCTGTTGGCGCTAAGAAGGCCTCTTTTTGCAATGGATTCGGCCAGGGAGGGGGCGACAACAATGGGAGGGGGCGACGTATCCTGACGGAAAGCGATCAAGTTTTCAGTTCTTCGTGTTTAAAGGAATTTTTAATTTTTTTTTTTTTATTTTTTTTTTTTATTAGTGTAAAGGCAATAAAATGAATGTAGTAATTTTATGGGTTTGATATCGGTTTCTTGCAAAATGCCCCGCGATACGAATTAAAAAAAGTTGTTGAATTTAACGATGACCTACTTAGACTTATAGTCCTAAATTTAAAAAACTCGGTGGATGTTTTAGAGTTACATGTTATAAAAATTTAAATAATAATATATCAATATGTTGTACATTAATCAGCCGTTATTTTAATTAAATAAATATATAGTAATTACAGCTGTCCCTTGATAATCCGGCAGGTATGGGACCAAAGAGGTGTCGGATTACCGAAAGTGATTACATATTTGGCATTGTTTTGCTAGCAGTAGCCTACAATATTCCTTACTCCAACTGTTCGAACAGAACTGCTCACGGAAAACACACGAAATTTGTGTCATCGTGTAAGAATTGGGTGGGGAGATTCACGTCGCCACATGCTTCTGTGCAAGCAGACACGTAACGAGGACGGCATCGGACTACTGAGCATGTCGGATTACAAAACGTCGGACTATCAAGGGACAGCTGTAATAATCAAGTACAATATAATCATTTATAATGACCGATGTTATTAATTAAGGCGTTAGTCTACTTCTTTGGGAGACCAGGATCGAATCAGAGCTGGCCAAAATCTCCCCAAGGAATTTTTGAGGGTTTTTCACCAGTCTCTCACCTTCCATTCTCTTCGTTGTAGGCTTGGTCGAACCCATGATAAGTATGATTAAAAATCTCTTTTAGTGCTCATAGGGAGAAAATGGTGCAAATTAGCCATAATAATTAGGTTATTTAATAACTGAATAATATACTTTTAATATGTATATGCTATAATAATCGTAATGTTGTCTTATAAATATTATGTATTATGTATTTATATTATATAAATTATTATTATTAGATACTTTTAATTTTGACAAGTGTGAGAGTAGTTTTATATAGGTCTCTATGTAAACTGCTAAACAAAGTTATATACGGTAATTAATTAATATTAAAATCTGTTGGCACTTATATAGACCTGCAGATTTATAGTTGTGCCTCATTATTCTCTGCAATAATTAATAATAGAGCTCCATTATGCTTCACATGAATCTACAATTGTGTTCACTGTTGCTCCACATATATACAGATAGTAGCTTAGTTCCATGGTAGAATCTGCTACAATTGCACAGTACAAAGAAATATAGTAGGTTCTATTATGTTCCATATTATGATCCATGCTATTATGGATTTAAAATATTGGTGCTATTTACTATATAAGAAGCAAAAACAATAAATAATGCATGTGCACCTTATACATGAAAGTAGTTAACTATGAGATTTTAATATGTAAAAATGTGTCTTAAATGTGTTTTTTTTTTTTTTTTTTTTTTTGTTTAACCGTTGTTTACAATCACAGAAAAACAGAAATATTTTGGCAATTGAAAATTTTATTATTCATAAATTAAAATTTAGAATAATTTAAGTGAATAGATTATAAAATTTATCCGATCCACGCTGTCTTATTACAGCATTAATATAAAGATAACAGCTAATTTGTCTAAATTTAGAAACATTTTCTATGAACGATGCTCGGTCCAGATTCATCATACTCCTGCTTTGAGATCCACATTTGTTGGAAAGTAGAAAGCGATGCTAATATGGATCCACCGATCCAGACAGAATATTTTCTTTCGGGTGGAGCGATGATTTTAATTTTCATCGTTGTTGGAGCCAAAGTAGTTATTTCTTTCTGAAGACGATCCGCAATACCGGGGAACATAGTGGTTCCTCCAGAGAGAACAATGTTGGAATATAGATCCTTACGTATATCGACATCACACTTCATGATCGAATTATAAGCAGTTTCGTGTATGCCACAGGACTCCATGCCAAGGAAAGAGGGTTGGAAGAGTGATTCTGGACAGCGGAATCTTTCATTTCCAATATTCATCACTTGACCATCAGGTAACTCGTAAGTCTTTTCAATGGAGGAAGAAGCAGCTGCTGAAGCCATTTCTTGTTCAAAATCCAATGATATATAACAAAGTTTCTCTTTAACATCGCGTACGATTTCTCTTTCAGCTGAAAAACATTTAAGAACATTATTTAGGGTCATTTCTAAAGAAGAAAGCACGAAATCTACTAACCGGTAGTGGTGAAAGAGTAGCCACGTTCTGTTAAAATCTTCATTAGATAATCTGTAAGATCTCGGCCAGCTAAATCGAGTCTCAGGATTGCGTGTGGAAGTGCATAACCTTCATAAATAGGTACAGTGTGGGTCACACCGTCACCAGAATCCATAACGATACCCGTCGTTCGTCCAGAAGCGTATAAAGAAAGCACTGCTTGAATTGCAACATACATTGCTGGAGTATTGAAGGTTTCAAACATTATCTACACATGAGAAAACTTAGTTAAAATCAGTGACAAAAGTTTTAACAAAAACGTGGTACAAACTTTACCTGAGTCATCTTTTCTCTGTTTGCTTTAGGGTTGAGGGGTGCTTCCGTTAAAAGAACAGGGTGTTCTTCGGGGGCAATACGAAGCTCGTTATAGAATGTATGGTGCCAAATCTTCTCCATATCATCCCAATTAGTAACGATACCATGTTCTATTGGGTATTTTAAAGTTAAAATACCTCGTTTGCTTTGCGCTTCGTCTCCAACATAACTATCTTTGTTACCCATACCAACCATAATAGGCTATAGATTATTAAATATTAAAATATGGCTCATGAAAAAATTTAAACAATTATCTACAAATAAATACATTTTTAAAAAGTACCTGGTGTCGCGATCTTCCGACTACGGATGGGAAAACCGAACGAGGAGCATCATCACCAGCAAATCCCGCTTTGCACATTCCAGATCCATTATCTACGATTATTGCAGCTACTTCGTCGTCGCACATTTTGCTTTAAAAATGTAAAAATTCTATATAAAATTGCTGTAGGAAACCCTCGGATAACGTTGGAAAAAAATCAGCTTTACCTATTTGAAGTACAGTAAAATGAGCAAGGAGTTTACTCCTCTTGGCAAAAAGAATTCTTTTTAAATGACTAGAAAAATCCTATGACGTCAAAAACAATGAACCTGTTTACTTCGATCAGATTCGATCGGTAAAGGATTGTTGGTTATGTCTATATAGGGAATTTATATCTGTCGCCATTTCAAATTTTCGAATCGGTTGAGGTAGATTCAACGAGCGGAACGGCCATGGATAACATCTTTTGTAGTTCTTTTCCTGAAATATCTGATATTAATAACTAGTTTAGAGAGTTCCGGTCCGTTTTTAACTAGATCGGCGCGGTTTTGACCTTATATATGTCTAAATTTGTTCCAGTTAGAGAAATAATCGATTCTATTCAAATTCTGATAACGTATTTTTTCGCGATTGGAATTTATACATTATTAAAATATAAAATGTTATGATAATCTTAGAGCGATAATTATATCCTCCCCATTACCGATAATTTCAATCCTCCTTGCTGATCATCATAGTTTGAGAGATATAGGCAGGGACGCTGGTACATTGTAGCACTCGCCCCTTTTTCGTCTGTTTTGATGTTTTCCTAATCACCAGGGAAGCCCTAAATTTCATTATCAACAACAGAACGACAAAAATTCATGACTTCTAGCCTACTTGTCCATTGTCCCATGCAACTTAGTCTTATGTTGACCAAAACTTGACCTTGAAAATAAGGAACGTTTCTTGTTTTCAAGGTCAAGTTTTGGCCATGTTAGCCCCAAATGCAAACAGTGCCATATTGTGGGAGTGCTGATCGTTGAATCAGTTTGAAGCTTCTTGTATAATGTATAATACCCTTTTTTTTTACAGTCTGCGGGCGCCGCTGGTTACAGAACAGCGGCTCTATATCATTTTTCACTCGCGTACTCGAGTCTTCTGTATGTAGACTTGTAGAACTAACGGATCCTTCTTGTGTACCACTGGTGGTACGTGCATCACTGGTTGAAAACTGTTACTATAGGTCAAGAACTGTATAGAAGTCCTTCTATACAGTTCTGCAAATCATATTTGCATAAAATCATACTGTAAATTTATGTGAATTTAGCGATTTATTTTCGAAAGAAGAGGATATTTAATTGCTTAATTAAGATTTCTTTTTGGTGTGGATAGCTGTGTTTTATCACGGATTTTGAGTAATTTAATGACTGAAATGTTCAATATCGATATTATAACATGTCAAGTGAGTGTAAAGTGAGAAATTGTTTACTGTTTTTGTCTATTTTGAGAAACTATACAAGCTGATCTGTTCTATCCAAGAATGGACTTTGTACTCGTTGTGGACCAAGCTAGAGACTAACATATAACATGCTCTTTCCCACACCAAATAATAATGCATGTTAAAATGTGAGGCCCAATCTGTAGACTCATAACATGAGGCCCCTTAGCCGAAGCTTGCTTAGATTATGTGCAAATTTGGCGTTGTACATAGGTTATGATAAAATGTATATGGAACAACAACTATTGAAGAAACAATAATTTGCACGCAAGGAATAATGTAATGAATATCTTGATACAAGACGAACGAGGCAGGAGCTGCATTTCATTTGCATGAATCGTTTGCACATAAGAATAACAATACTTAGCAACAATTTGTATACAGAGTAATTAGGTGTACATTACAGTACATTGTCTTAATTGCTCATCTTTTCACAATATAAAGACAGATAGAAGACAAATAGGCGTAATTCTTATGTAGACGTGAAGTTCCTATCCAAAATTAATGGTCAGGGTTGGACTTGTTGTAGCTCTAAGCTGTAATATGTAACAGGCCCTTTCACTACACCAAATGATACATGTAAAACTATGAGGCCTTAATTAAGTTGCCGATTGTTTATTTTATGTGCAAATCCGACCATAATTATGCCCAAGAATTAAGATGTAATCAAGCACTTTAATAGCGAAAACTCTAGTACTTTCACAGGATTTCCGTCTTTCCCAAAAGCAAGTTAACAAAATGAAATAAATAACGAAAAAAATTTGCTTTTGTTTGTTTTATTTATTTTAATTCATATATAATAAAACCTGTCTAAAACAGACGATATATAAAACGGAAAATAACTGTAGGAACTGTAGAATTTTCTGAATAAAATATTATTACAAGCCAAAAACCTGTCTAACGCGGAAACTTTGAAACCAATTGCACTTGAGTATAGTGGAAATTTTTAGCGCAACAGAAGCTAATTCTAAGTCATAATTAAAGCACAATTGACAAGTAGTGGGTTTCTACAGTTTTTTCCCTCTCTGTACACTGTATAAAAGTATTTAAACGTGTCTGAAACACAAAAAAAAAACTTATACTGAAACCTGTGTAAACCGGACTTGTACGTTACTGAATATTTTTTTCCGGTTTCGAATTTTTTTAACACAGAAAATCGCTGCGTTTATAAGAATTTAGGTAGGTTTTCGTTTTATTAATGTTCCGTTTTGGACAGGTTTTACTGTATATTAAACAGATCTAAATATGAATTGAACATACTTTTCAATTCATATTTCCCGCATTAATAAAAACAAAACCATCTATAAAACGGAAAACTTTAGCTGGTATCGTCGCATTTCGTTTTACACAGGTTTTGTTGAATTTTGAGATGGCTATGGCCTGGAATCAAAAATTTTCTATAGAGTATATTGTTTGTTTTAAAAAGGATATATAAATTGTTTATTTATTTTTTGTATGCGAACTAACATATAATTTTCGGTTATGCAAGTCGTGACGAATGACAAAAACCGGAAGAAAAGACTAATGATGCAGACAGAAATTCTGATATTTTTAGAATTTCGAGAGTTTTCTTTCCTTTTGTCTAAAAGAAAATAAATAAATAAATAAACTTAAAATTTATTTATTTATCTTTTTAAATAATAAAAAAAGAAATCAAGAAAATTATTTGATTCACAACGATATAAAATCGATAGCTTGGAAGACAATCACGTGACGAAAATCGATACCACTATCAAAGGATTTTCTTGTATGACGTAAACATGTCGATGTGCAGATGACAATTAGACATTGTTAAATTTTTAAATGATATCGTCTGTAACGAGTAACCAAGCAAAATTTGAGGTGTTAATTAAACGCTTAGAAATGCTCATTTGCATAAAGAAATGCTCAACTAAAACACCAATTTCTGTTTATTTTTAAAAATTTAGTGGTTGAAATCAAGTAAATTTTTCAATTTCTCGTGTTTTGATAACAAATCTTAATAATTTGACATATTAAACACCCAAAAAACTTGCTCACAAACACTCTCTCAAGTAAGAAATGTATTAAACATATCAATTTCTGTCAGGACTGGACTTAGACTTGTGGCCCTAAACTATAGACTAACACATAAACGGCTCTTTCCTTCTACCAAATAACGATAGTCTACACGCAAAAACGTGAGGCTTTATGCTATAGACTCATAACGCGGGGCCTTACATCATCTGCAGCTTGTATTAATCCGGCTTTAGTTTGTTTGTATTGTACCTAGAAAAATTAAGCGATAAAATCAAGAAAATTGTAGATAATTTTCCATTTTTATATTCTAATTTTTAATAATAATAATAATAATAATAATAATAAAAATTTGAGTAATTAAACACGCAAAATCTTGCTTATAATGCAAATTTTCATGCATAAAAACGCTTAATGAAACCTGAACCCTTGATTGAACGTAACTAAATAAATTGCAGCTTAGAGTCTCGCGCTATGAATCTATAGCTTCGACTCACAATTTAACATGCATTATTATTTGGTTTGGGGAAGATGCTTAAGGCCAGACAGAGTCTAAGGTCCAGCTATGGATGAAACAGATCAAATTATGCATATTTAATCGATAAAAATCATCAAAAAACGATGAGAAACAAATAAAAACTATTGTGCTAAAGTAAAATTATAGGCTATAGAAAACGGCAGAACCATTTTTTCAGTTGTAAATATTATCACAACAAGGCGTTGACCTCGTCTGAATTCGCGCAAGATATTGTTAGGTTGTAATCACGTGATTCTGCAAAAATCTGGCCATAAAATCAAACAATCGATGGCATTGAAAAAAAATCTGTTGTAGATCGAACCTCGATACAACGAACATTTAACGGATGAGTGAAGAAAGGAACTTAAGCGATAATTTCAGTTCAACGTCTACAAAAACTCGACCGTATCCACTTTACCGCTTATTCATCTGTACAGTTAGTTAATGTCTGTCCTTTTTCCTGCATAAAATGGTTCTTAGCATCAATTTTTATTGTAAAAAATGCTTGATTTTATTAATTTTTACGCATATTTATCGGATACAACTTAATTAATTGCATATTTTCTCATTTACAGACCTATAAAAGGAATGTTACTTACTCATCCATTTACAGTTATGCCTGTTTAAAAATCCCGTTTTTCTTTGTATATTTGATTTATAAAATGGTTCCTGACGTAAATTTATATAGAAAAATACTTACTATATTAATTTTAAACATATGTAATGAATATAATTCAATTAATTGCAAACTTTCTCCGTTAAGTGCGAATACAGTAACATGTTACTTGTTTATACAGTTACTTAATATCCAGTTTCTTGCTATATACAGGTTAAAATTAAGCAAATTTATGCAAAGTTTTATGCAAAAATATAAAATATATTCATTTTTAAACATATTTAATAAATAAAACTTAATTAAATGCCTATTTGTACCTATTCAGAGATTGCAAATTAACGAATTAGCCGCTTATTCAGTTATTTAAGATCCATTTTTCTTAAACACTTAAACTTCTGAACAACGGTTACCGACTGGAACAGAAAATAAATAGACGTTGTTCAAAGGTGACCGTTATTTGAAGGTTATTTTGCATGCAGTTTTGTTAGGAAGAAGTTCTTGAATGAATGACCGCTGTTTAGAGGTGGTTTATATGCAAAAACCACTTAAATTTACTCACTCTACTCATTTTACTCATCTTATTCATAAATTTACTAATTTTTTAACGCATTTTATACATAAATTTACT